CATAGACAACCCATTTATGCCAAGAACACCCAGGGTTTCTGGGCTGAAATTCACCATCTGAGTCACTGCTCCAGGCCCCTCTGAGAGTGACCACTTGTTCTCCCAACATCTGGAGTCCTGCACCTTCTAAGAAACACACTTCCTCTCCAGCTTTAAGCTTCCCCTCTGCTGACCTGCCTAGAAATTCTTAAGAGTCCACAGAGACAACTAACTCTCTTTGCCTCAACCAGACCTCATGGTCCTGCCACCCACATGAGTTGGATGGGAGTGAGATGGCATTGGGCAGGGTCCTACTCAGAAATTGGGTAGGTGGGTGGGTGAATGGATGGATGGGGAGGGAGGGAGGAGGAAAGATGCGAGTGGACAGGATGGATAGATAGGTAGGTAGAAGGAAGGTGGGATGAATGGAGTACAAAGAAGTAAGGAAGAATGAAAAGGATGGAAGAAAAAACAGGATGCAGATACGTGGGGTAAATGATGGCGTGGTCAGGAAGAATAGACGAAAGCCTAGATGACACGGGAAAGGAGAGGGTTTGGTGGAGTGCAGGAATTTGTTATTGTTGTTACTAGGTATGGTTGAGTCAGCACTGCCCAATCCTGTTAAATATTGCAACTATTGGTTGCAGCCACTGTATCAGTCCGTCTCGTTGAGGGGCTTCCTTCCTCTTTTTTGCTGACCCTCTGCTTTACCAAGCATGATGTCCTTCTCCAGGGACAGAGCCCTCCTGACAACAAAGTACTAACTCATCATCTTCACTTCTGAGGAACATTCTGACTGTACTTCCTCCAACACAGACTTTTTCTTTCTACTAGCAGCAGTCCATGATATATACTCAATATTCTTCACCAACATCATAATTCCAAACCACCAATTTTTCTTGGGTCTTTCTTATTCATTGTCCAGCTTTTGCATTCGTATGAGGGAATTGAAGATAGAATGGCTTGGATCAGGTATACCTTAATTCTCAAAGTGACATCTTTGCTCTTTAATGCTTAAAAGAGTTATTTTGCAGTAGATTTATCCAATACAATACTTTGAGTTCTTAATCATTTCTTCCATGGGCATTGATTGTGGATCCAAGTAAAATAAAGTCCTTGAAAACTTCAATGTTTTCTCCCTTTATCATGATGATGTGAAGATTTCTGTTTTCTTGATGTTGAGGTGCAACCTATACTGAAGGCTGTAGTCTTTGATCTTCACTTTCAACAGGCAAGTAAAGTTGTCTCATCTGCATGTCGCAGGCCTTCCTCCAATCTTGATGCTGCATTCTTATTCGTATAGTCTGGCTTCTCAGACTGTTTGCTCAGCACACATATTAAATAAGTGTGGTGGAAAGGTACAACTCTAAGGCACACTTTTCCTGTTTCAAACCACGCAGTACCCTTGTTCTTTTTGAATGACTCCTGCCTCTTGGTTTATATACAGGTTCCACAGGAGCACAATTAACTGTTCTAGAATTCTCATTTTTCTCAGTGCTATCTGTAATTTGTTATGATCCATACAATTCAAAGCCTTTGCATAGTCAGTAAAACCCGTAGACATCTTTCTGCTAGTCTCTGCTTTCAGCCAAGATCAGTCTGACATCAGCAATGATATCCCTTCATTCCATATCCTCTTCTGAATCTGGCTTAAGTTTCTGGCAGTTTCCTGTCTGGTACTGGTGCGGTGGTGGTTGTGTGCTGGGGTGTTGGTTCTGACTCATAGAGACCCTGTACAGGATTTCCGAGGCTGTAAATCTTGGCAGGAGCCAAAAACCTGATCTTTCTCATGCGGAACAGCTGGTAGTTTTGAACTGCTGGCCTTGAGATTAGCAGTCCAATTCATAACCACTACGCTACCATAGCTCCTTATGTTGTACTGGTGTAAGCATTTTAAAGTTATCTTCAGCAAAATTTTACTGGCATGTGATACTGATAATGTTCAGTAATTTCTGCATTCTATTAAATCACTTTTATGGTAATGAATATGGATTTATTCCAGTCAATAGGCCAAAATTCTTGGCGTAGACTAGTGAGAGCTTCCATCTTCTTATTCAAACAGCTCAGTAAGTTTTCTTCTGCCAGTTCTTAAAGGCTTATTTGTCACTAATGCCTTGAGTGTTGTTTGGACTTCTTCCTTCAAAACCCTTGGTTTTTGATCATATACTACTTCTTAAGATGGTTGTCAGCTATTTCTTTTTGGTACAGTGACTGTGTATTTCTTCCATCTTCTTTTGATGCTTTCTGCATCCTTCAATATTTTGCCCACAGAATCCTTCACTATTTCAAGTTAAGCCTTAATTTTTTTTCTTCTTCAGGTCTTTCAGCTTGAGAAATGCTGTGCATGTTCTTCCCGTTCGGTTTTCTAACTCCAGGTGTATACACATTTCATTATAATACTTGACTTTGTCTTTTCATTCTGCCCATTGACATTTTTTGTCCAGCTGTTTTACTTCTTCATTTCTTCACTCACTTTAGTTTCTTCTCTGCGTTCAAGTGTGATGGCGTCCAGTTTTCCTGGTTCATCCTTGGTACATTCCACGTTTGGATTATTAATGTCTGTGCAGTTGAGGCTCTGTTGCTTCTCATTTGGAATCAATGCCACATCATCAGTGAAGATCCCAAAAAGCTTTACTCCATTCACGTCACTAAGGTTAACTCTTCTTTGAGGAGGCAGCTCTTCCCCAGTCCTATTTTGAGTGCTTTCCAACCTGAAGAAGTCCTAGTGGTGCTGTGAGTTAAGCATTAGGCTGCTAACCAAAACACTGGTGGTTCAAACTCACCAGCTCATCCACAAGAGAAAGATGAGGCCATCTGCTTATGTAGAGAATTGTCAGCCTTGGAAATCCTATGGAGAAGTTCTACTCTGTCCACAGGGTCATTATGAGTTGAAATCGACTCAAATGGCAGTGGGTAGGTGGGCTCCAACCTGAGGGGCTCATCTTCCAGCACTATATCACACAATGTTCTGCTCCTCTTCATAAGGTTTTCACTGGCCACTTATTTTTAGAAGTAGATTTCAAGGTCCTTTTTCCTAGCTGGCTTAGTCTTGAAGCTCTACTGAAACCTGCCCACTGTGGTTGACCCTGTTGGTATTTCAGAATACCAGTGGCATAAAAAACAGAGGGAATGGAAGCAAATACCGTTGAATGATGATGCACGGAGGAGATTGTAATCATTGCAATGAAACGATGGTGTAAAGCTGATGTTCTCCCATGTAAACTGTCACTCAGTTCACAATAAAAAATTAATTAATTTATTAATTTTTTTAAATACCAGTGGCATAGTTTCCAGCGTGCAAGCCACCAAAATTTGACAAACTGATAGATAGATGGGTGGTGAGGGATGGAAGATGCTTACACTAAGTTGCCTTTTACTAGAATAGATGTGTGTCTCTTTTCTTCTCCTTCAACTGAATCTGGAAGAACACATTCTAAGTCTGCTTTTCCTTAAGCAGACAAGAGTGTGTCCCTTAGAGACTGTCTAATTTTAGTCCTTTGCCCTTGATGGACTTTTGTGGTCATGGAAAGCAACTGATGGACTCTTCCCTCGTAAAACCCTATCTATATTTTAAGACTTAAAATTAGAGAAAGTGGTTGGACTAAATGGGATTTCAAATGGGCCTTCACACCTAAATTTCAGAGGCTAAAAGAACATCTGTATTTTCAAAATACTTTTAAACTTTATTTGAACTATAATAAGTTTTGGATTTTTTTTTAATTCATTGGAGACTACCGGCATATTTCTGGGTTCAGCATGCTAAACTTGGTGTTTTCTGCTTAAGGGAAGTTCTGAGATTTCAAGATAAATGGTTAAAACTCTCGTTGTCATTAGCAACTCCTTAGACTACATCAATACAATGTCACAAAGCAAAATACAGAAATCATTTGGATTCTTTGGCTGGTGTGATTGGAACTACCATCTCTAACCCCCAGTTAAAATGTTAACTTTCCCAAAATAGCCTTCTTTGTTCTCATTGCTTGCTTTTCAAGTAGGAAAACAGTATGGAATTAGACATACACATTTACTCTTCTTACTGGTTTCCCCACATTATGGTTGCCTTATTGTTTGTTTTTGTTTTAAAGAGGAAATTGTATTTTAAAAAAGAATGAAAGAAAAAAAAATGCCAAATAGAAGCCCAGTGGATGAATTCCTCAGGAGCCATTTAGCTCTTGGATTCCAGCCTTCCGGGCACTGTTGGTACCCCTGTGCCCAGCCTTCCTCTCAGTACTGGTGAACCCTATCCTTAGGTGGACATCTTAGCCATCAGTCCTTAGGTTCTTTTGCCAACTGAGGCCTCCCTGAGACCAAATAACGCATCATGGGGAGATATACCATCTTCCTTTAGGTTAAGGTTAGAAATGAGCCACTCTTCTCTTCCGTAGCTTTTATGATCTGGCCATTCATAAATTTACCCCAAACCTTTAGAAATCCATTTTTCGGTCCTGATAAAATCCTCTCTTAGCATTATACCTTTTTTACCTGCTCTGTGGGACAATGGTACCTTGATGCCTCTCTTCCGGCCTACCTTTGCAGTATGACCACAGCTAGGTCCAAGTTCCAGGAAGCATCGGTGTACCTTATGGCCAGCACTTCCCAGCCCAGTCTAATGGATTGGTGTTAATGAACCTGGCTCTGAACCTAGGTGGTGAGAAGACTAGATAGTTTGTAAATGTGAGGACACTGGAATTTAGTACAGAAACGGCTCTGCTATTGCTTCCAGCCTTGTAGCATAATTGGAACTGGGCAGGAGTAAGCACCCTACTGGAAGGGATATATTGAGAAATACTTGTAGGTAGCACATATTAAGTGGGCTTCGAACTGTAGGTTCACTTAAGAGTAGGCTGTGAACCTCTACAAAAATCATCTTGCTAATCTGCTTTGCATACTCCAAATTTGGATGAACTCAGGAGCCCAGTCCTTGGACAATTGACTTTAAATATTGATTCTGTTGAGGATCATTGTGTCACAGTGGCTTTCTTAATGACCACCTGTTGGGTGCTTTTATTGTTTCCCTCCAGATCGTCCTGTGGGGTCGGACTGAGAAATGCCTGAAGGAGACCACAGAGGAGATTCGGCAGATGGGCACAGAATGTCACTACTTCATCTGTGATGTGGGCAACCGGGAGGAGGTATACCAGACTGCCAAAGCTGTCCGGGAGAAGGTAAGTGGGCTGAGAGGTTTGGTCCTCAGTTTAGCTGAACATGGGCACTGCCAAGCAAAGAGAACATTCTCAAGTGACCTAGAAGAGAACTTTGTAGAAAGCTGACAGAATGGCTTTGTCCAGGGTGCCCATAGAATCTGTCCTATGAAGCTGGCCATGGCTAGGTTTTGGAGTGTGGGGGTTAGGGATGTGGTTTGATTACTTAACATCAATAATTGCTTGTTTTCCCATTGGAAGTATAGACCTATGGTTGTCTTTCCTAGACACTGGGGCAAATGTGTCATTGCTCTCTCTGGGCAAATCTTGTCCTAACTCCAGACACTTATTTGATGAAATATTGTTACTCCAAGGGAGCAAACACTACCCTGTTAGGTATCTGGGTGATAAATGCTAACTGTTTTTATATAACTGTGGTGGTGGTGGTGGTGGTTATGTGCCGAAGAGTTGGTTCCGACTTACAGTGACCCTACATAGGGTTTCTGAGGCTGTAAATCGTTACAGGATAAGAAAGCCTCATCTTTCTCCTGCGGAATGGCTGGTAGTTTTGAACTGCTGACCTTGAGGTTAGCAGCCTGCCTCAACTCATAAGCACAACGCTACCAGGTCTCCTTATAAGTAATTATAGTCTCATTTATTGTAAATGTGTTATGAGCCAGGTACGTTATATGCCGGAACATGTTTCTTATCCTCAGAACAGCCCTGGCGGGGATATTAGCCACGTTTTGCACATCAGGATTGACGCTCAGAGCAGGAGGACCATACAGCCTGTGAGAGGTGGGGTTGGGTCATACTGACAGCTGGCCCTGACAGCCCACAGTGCCCTCTCACCCACAGGTAGGCGACATCACTATCCTGGTGAACAACGCCGCTGTGGTCCACGGGAAGAGCTTGATGGACAGCGATGATGATGCCCTCCTCAAGTCCCAGCACATTAACACCCTGGGCCAGTTCTGGGTAAGGCTGTCTTTTGCCACGTTCCTGCCCGGAGAGCCTGGGCAAGCAGGAGGAGGGAGAGGCTCACAGGGCAAAGGTCATGCAAGTAGGGATGGCCAAGGACAAGGTGGAATGACCTAAACAGTGGCGCTCAGGGTCCACAGCAGCGAGCCCTCGGCCCCCTCTTCTCCTGGGACGTTATCCAGAGTGGTCTGCCCTCCCTGAGGAAGGGACAGAGAGGGGTTTTTGGAAGTTGTGACGACAGCATGCTGACTACCCCCTCCATCCTCAGACCACAAAGGCCTTCTTACCGCGCATGCTGGAGCTGCAGAACGGCCACATCGTGTGCCTCAATTCCGTGCTAGCTCTGTCGGCCATCCCCGGCGCCATCGACTACTGCACCTCCAAGGCCTCGGCCTTCGCCTTCATGGAGAGCCTGACCCTGGGGCTGCTGGACTGTCCAGGAGTCAGTGCCACCACCGTGCTACCCTTCCACACCAGCACCGAGATGTTCCAGGGCATGAGGGTCAGGTCAGTATAAATATGACAATTGTTGTAAAGTGCTGTTGAGTCGATTCTGACCCCCATAGCGACCCTGTAAAGTGTTTCCAAGGAGCAGCTGGTGAGCTTGAGCCACCGAACTTGTAGTTCAAACGGCTTTGCGGTCTGGTGCTTCAACCCACGGTGCCATACCAGGACTCCAAATACAACAATATAAAATATAAAAATGACCCCACCCAAGACCAAACCACTGGGTCAATTCTGAATATGTGTGTTAGAGTAGAACCTTGCTCCAGAGGATTTTCAATGACTAACTTTTTGGAATTAGATCATGAGACCTTTCCTCTGAGGAGCCTCAGGGTGGATTCAAACCTCCAACCTTCCAGTTAGCAGCCGAGTGCATTAACTATTTGTACCAGCTAGGTACAAACCACTCCATTAATGAACTTCTTGTTGTTAAGTGCCACTGAGTTGGTTCTGACCCAAAGCGGCCCTGTGTGGGATTTCCAAGGAACAGCTGGTGAGCTTGAACCGCTGACTTTGCAGTGTGGCGCATTAGTCCACAGCGCCGCACCAGGAGTCCACTAATGAACTAAAACTAGAAGTCCTTTATTTTTGACTTTGCAGTCTCGTATCCAATTCTTCATTGACAAGGCAGTAGGATACTGTGGCCATTTATGGTCCTGTTTCTCAATTCAGGGAACTTTTACAGAATACTAATGCTATATGCAAACAGGGAAATACTATATTGTTGTTGTTATGTGACATCGAGTCAGTTCCGACCCATAACGACCCCTGTATAAGGTTTCCTAGGAGTGGCTGGTGAGTTTGAACGGCCAGTCTTGCGGTTGAAACAGACTGCAGTCCAGCACATTAACCCACAGCGCCCCGCCAGGACTCCATGTGAAACACTATACAGCAATACAAAGAGTACAGACTGTTGATACATGAGGAACATGAACGAGTCACAAAAAGATGATATTGAGCAAAAGAAATCAGAGGCGAAATAGCACATTCTACACAAATCCACTGATTGGAAGTTCTAGAACAGGCAAAACCAGGCTATGGTGACAGAAAGCACAACATTAGTTAGGCCTCAAAGAGTGTGGATGTTGCCTGGGAGGGACACCAGAGAACTTCCTTGTTGTTGTTGTTAAGTGCCTTCAAGTCGGTTCCGACCCATAGCGACCCTGTACAGGGTTTCCGAGGGTGTAAATCTTTACGGGAGTAGAAAGCCTCATCTTTCTCCGGTGGAACAGCTGGTAGTTTCGAACCACTGACCTTAAGGTTCGCAGCCCGATTCGTAACCACTACGCTACCAGAGCTCCGTAGAGAACTTCCTAGGCATTTAGAAATGGTCTCTATTCTTGATCTGGGGAGGGGTGGTTACCTCGGTCAAAATAAATCAAGCAGTGCACTTAAGATCTATGCCTTTTATTGTACACAAATTCTAGCTCAGTTTAAAGAAATACCAAGACCTGATCATTTTTCTCCTGAGACCATTTAGATCAGCATCTCATAGATGCAGCCAAGAATGGGCAGCACTCTTAATTTAGAATACATACTTTGGAACCAGGAGCCCAGAGTGAAGACTCAACCTTTGTATCAATGATGCACTCTGTAAACTGAGGTCAGATCGGTTACTACACCAGCCTCTGTTGCTTACCTGCCAAATGGGACAATGAGAATGCCTACATCGTACATGGGGGTGGAGGATGAAATGACATCACCTGAAAGTACTCAGCACAGAACTTGACACATAATAATTGCTGCTGTAATTATGTGCCATCATGAACAGGGGCAAATGTTAAAGGAAAGTGGAGAATTACCAAAAAGGACTTTTTCTTGGTTTCTGCAGTACAGCATATGAGTTGGTCATTCATTTGCTTTCTGAAGCACAAGGGAGCTTCAAAGAGTTCGTGGATAAATGGAATGAAAATACGGAATTCTTCCACAGACTTTTTGAAGACCACTCGTATATGCTTCCAGAAATGAGGGTGCAAAGAGTGTGAATATGAATGGGTCATTGGGAGAGCTCAGTGAGACAGGGGATTAGCCTAGAAGCGGCTGGCTCGTGGTAACCACACAGTACACGTATTCACACCATACTAAGAGAACTGGAATCGTTTGCACAGTTGAAATTTAAAATATTAATAATGTTTTGATAACACATCTCAGCTACTCTTTAGTTGTGAAATCGTAGGCTGGTTTTGTTACCTCTCTAAGCTTTACTTTGTTCCTCTGTAAACTGGTGGAATAATATCTTAGAATTAATGAGAACTGGAAATAATATAAAGAATGTATCTAATGCAAAGCCAAGGACATTCTAGGTGCTCAATAAACAGCTATTGCTCTTCTTTTTACTAATGATGAACATCTTCCTAAATGCATATCTTATTAACTTTCCTAGCAGACAGTCTCTTGTGAGTTTTTCACACAGGTATATATATTCCAACAAATATAATATTTTGTGTATAGATGATCATATGTCTTGAATTTAGTGGAGATGGAATTGACTATTAATATTCCATGTTTACCTATGCTTTATTGACTGTGCAAAGGCTTTTGATTGTGTGGATCATAACAAGCTATGGACAATACTGCAGAGAGTGAGTATTCCAGAACACTTAATTGTGCTCGTGAGGAACCTGTACATAGACCAAGAGGCATTCATTCAAACAAAACAAGGGGACACCGAATGGTTTAAAATCAGGAGAGGTGTGCACCAGGGTTGTATTCTTTCACCATGCTTATTCAATCTGTATGCTGAGCAAATAATCCAAGAAGCTGGGTTATATGAAGAAGAACGACATCAAGATTGGAGGAAGACTCGTTAACAACCTCCGATATGAACATGATGCAACCCTGCTTGTGAAAAGTGGAGAGGACTTGAAACACTTATGATGAAGATCAAAGACCACAGCCTTCGGTATGAGCTGCACCTCAGTGTAAAGAAAACAAAAATCCTCACAACTGGACCAATAAATAACATCATGATAAGTGGAAAAAAGATCGAAGTTGTCAAAGACTTCATTTTGTTTGGATCAACCATTAATACTCATGGAAGCAACAGTCAAGAAATAAAATGACGTATTGCATTAGGCAAATAAGCTGCACAAGACCTCTTTAAAGCACTCACAGGTGCTGAGGTCTAGGAGGAATGAAGGGGATGGAGAATGCTGACAAGTCTAGGGGCGTGGGGAATATCTCCCACAGCCCTGTCAGTACATAGAGGCGTCCCACAGCACTCTCTTCTCCAGCAGAAACCACTCTGTCTCTTTCCACTTTCAGGTTTCCCAACCTCTTCCCACCACTGAAGCCAGAGACGGTGGCCCGGAGGACGGTGGAAGCTGTACAGCTCAATCAGGCCCTTCTCCTGTTGCCGTGGACGATGCATGCCCTCATCATCTTGAAAAGGTACGGAGCTAACATGTGCTGACCATTTCCCCTGCTGGGGAAGAGGGAGCAGGTGGAGAGACATGTGGTAGATTAGTCCTGTCTGCTGTGGGCACGAGAATGAGGGGTGGAGTCCTGTCTGCCACGAACGAATTCACTATCCTTACTCCAGGGCAATGGTTCTCAAACTTTTTGGTCTCAGGTCCTCTTTATAGTCTTAAAGATTATTGTTGATGTCATTCACACCTATCACTAATTACTGCATTAACAAAGCGAAGAACAATATTACACTAGTTGTACATTTGTGTATATTGTTGTTGTTAAGTGTTGTCGAGTTGTTTTCAACTCATAGTGACCCTGAATACGGTTTCTGAGGGTTTAAACCACCAACCTTGCAATCTTGGCACACCAGGATTCCTTTGTTTATATAGTTGTTGTTTATATCAAGAAATATTTATTCAGAGATTTAAAAATAGCCGTAGTAAACAACATATTACCGTGTTCTTGTTCTTGTTGCATGCTATAGAGTCAGTTCCAAATCATGTTGTTGTTGTTAAGTGCCTTCAAGTCAGTTCTGACTCAGAGCAACCCTGTATAGGGTTTCCTAGGAGCAGCTGGTGAATTTGAACCACTAGCCTTGCAGTTCAAACCGACCTTGCAATCCAGCGCATTATCCCACAGCACCAGGCCAGGACTCCCTGTAGACCAGAGAAAACGCCGTCCTATCCTGCGTCACCCTCACAATTGTTGCCATTTTTGAGCTCATTGTTGTAGCCACTGTGTTAATCCGGCTTGTTAGAGGGCTTCGTCTTTCCCTGTGAGAACGTGTCTGAAGTAGCTGAGAAGAACGCTCACCCTTGCTTTCTGGCTATACTTCTTCCAAGACAGATGTGTTCGTTGTTCTGGGAGTTCACGATGCTTTCTGTATTCGTCACCAACACCATAACTGAAAGGCATCGATTCTTCGGTTCTCCTTATTCACTGTCCAGCATTCATATGACTTGAGTGAGATGCACCTTAATCTTCAAAGTGACGTCTTTGCTTTTTAGCATTTTAATGCAGCACACCGTTTGATTCCTTGACTGCTGCTCCCAGGAGTGTTGATTGTGGATTCAATGAAATGAAATCCTTGACCATGTTAATCTTTTCTCCATTTATCCTGATGGGATTCTTATTGGTTCAGTTGTAAGGATTTTTTTATTTCTTTATGTTGAGGTGCAATTCATACTCAAGGTTATTGTCTTTGGTCTTCATCTGTAAGTGCTTCAAGTCCTCTTCCCTTGCAGCTAGTAAGGTTGTGTAGTCTGCTTATCTCAGGTTGCTAAATAAGTCTTCTAATCCTGATGCCTCATTCTGATTCCTATAGTTCAGTTTCTTAAATTATTTGCTCAGCATACAGACTGAATAAGTATGGTTAAATGATCCAACTCTAAAGGACACTTTCCTGATTTAAAACCATGTGCTGTTCCTGTGTTCCGTTTGAATGACTGCCTTTTTGGTTTACATGCAGGTTGTTGGTTGTTTGTTGTACCATCAAGTCAGTTGCGACCCTATATAGGGTTTTCTAAGAGCAGCTGGTGAACTTGAATCACCAATCTGGCGATTCAAACCAACTTTGCAGTCCAGTACATTAAACCACAGTACCACATATAGGTTCCATAGGAGTACAATGAAGTGCTCTGCAATACCCATTCTTCACAATGTGATCAAATATTTGTTATGATCCACATGATCAAATGCCTTTGCATAGTCAATAAAATACAGGTAAACATATTTCTGGTGTTTTCCACTTTCAGCCAAGCTCCATGTGACATCAGCAATAATATCCCTCGCTCCATGTCCTTTTCTGAATCTGGCTTTCATTTCTGTCAGTTCCCTATTGATGAACTGCTTTAATTGTTGTTTCATTATCTTTAGCAAAAATTTACCTACATGTGACGTTAATGATATTGTTCACTAATTTCCACATTCTGTTGGATCACCTTTCTTTGGGATAGGCACAAATATGAATCTCTTCTAGTAAGTTGACCAGGTAGCTGTCTTCCAAATTTCTTGGCATAAACGAGTGAGCACGCCTGTGTTGTATTCATTCATTGAAACATATAAATAAGTAGTCCATCATTTTTACCAATGCCATCAGTTCAGTTTGAATGTCTACCATTACTTCTTGATGAATGCCACTTCCCAAAATGGTTAAGTGTCAACAAATTCTTTTTGATACAGTGATTTTATGTATACCTTCTATCTTCTTTTGATGCCTCCTGCATCCTTCAATATTTTGCCCATAGAATCTTTCAGTATTGCAAGTTGAGGTGAAAATTTTTCTCTTAAGTTCTTTCAGCTTGCAAATTGCTGAACATGGGCTTCCCTTTTGTTTTTCTAAATCCACGTCTTTGCACATTTCATTATAATATTTTACTGTGTCTTCTCAAGCCCCTCTTTGAACTTTTCTGTTCATCTCTTTTATTTCATCATGTCTTCCAGTTGTTTTAGCTATTCTATATTGAAGAGCAAGTTTCAGAGTCTTCCACATCCATTTTGGTCTTTTTCTATCCTGTCCTTTTTTCTTTCTTTCTTTCCTGTCTTTTTAATGACCTTTTCTTTCTTCATGTATGATGTTCTTGGTGTCATGTCACAACTAATTGGTCCTTGGTCTTTAGTGTTCAGTGCATCAAATCTATTCTAACTTTAGGTGGGATACACTACTCAAAGTCAAACTTTGGCTCTTTTGGACTTGTTTTCGATTTCTTCAGCTTCAACTTGAACTTGTAAATGAGCACTGGATAGCCTATTCTGTAGTTGGCTACGGGCCATCTATACTTCAGCTTCCCCGTCATTACTTGTCACAGATGTAGTTGATTTAATTCCTCTGTTTTACATCCTGTGAGGTCCACTTGATTATTCTCTTCAGGATGGCCAATCCCAGTCCATTTCAGCTCACTAATGCCTAGGATATTGGTCTTCAAACATTTCATTGTATTTTTGATGACTTAATTTTCCTAGATTCATACTTCATACATTCCCAGTTCTGGTTACTAATGGCTCTTTGGAGCTGTTTCTTCTCATTGTCAGTCATGCCACGTCAGCATCTGAAGGTCCTGAAACCTTTGTTCCCATCATTAAGGCCTGCCCTACTTTGAGGAGGCAGCTCTTCCCCAATCAGCCCTCCAATCTGAGGGCTCATCTTCCAGCACTGTCTCCCAGGAAGGTTCTCACTGGCCCATTTTCTTTAGAAGTTGCTCATTAGGTTCTTCTTCCTAGTCTTACTTAGTCCGGAAGCTCCTCTGAAAGCTGCCGGGCAATATAGTTTTAAGTGCCACAGCAACATAAAAGGCACCACAGTACAAGCTGACAGATGTGTCATTTTAATTTCCATTTGAAATTCGTTTATGGAAAATATTTATAGTTCATAAAACAAAAGAAATGTAGTGAATAGAGTGGCATTGTCTAGCTTAATTGAAGACAGCTAGTGCATAAGGTCCATATGGGTTGGTATCGACTCAATGGCACCTAACAACAACAGATTCTCTTATCTGTATCTGTTCAATGCATTATGATACTATATGGCGTGTACCATCTAAAATACTCCACTGTACACACATGGGAGAATGAGAGGGGAAAGGTGTGACAAGTTACTTACTAGTATTATAATGAAACTTTGACCTCGCAGAACCATGAAAAAGTATCTGAGGCTCAGATGTTCCTGGAGCACTTTGAGAACTGCCCTTCTAGAGACTATAAGACCCAGCCCAACCCACAGGAAACTGGATCTAAGGAGGAAGACAGGGGTCTCTATGTCATAGACTTAGGTGGGATTCCTGCAAATGTGGTCAGCTGAAGGGTGGGTGGGGCCTACCAGGACAGACTTCTTTAGAGGTTGGCCTTTGTGGCGATGGTTCTTCTGCAGAATTTGCCCAGTATCATATTCCCCTAAAACTTTGCAGACTTTGGGCACCAAGCCCTTCCCATCTCAGCTCCACTCTGAAGGGGCATCATTCCTTGTGTTGCTTAAGCATAGTTTTATGGGCTTTTTACTATAATTAAACCACCCCACACACACACACAAAAAGGCATCAACTCTGACCCAAGGTGTCGCCATGTGTGTCCGTAGGATTTTCAATGGATGACTTTCAGAAGGGGATCACCAGGCTTTTCTTCCACGGTACCTGGTTAACAGCCAAGTGCCTTAACCATTCACACCCCTGGGGATTCTGAGAGCTTTGTCCATGAGCCACAAATAACCTTGGGTGCTTGGCTGCTCTGGACTTTGGTCCATCTTCAAGTCCCAATCCTGTGACCTACCCCCACTCCATAGTCCCACAAACACAAAATAAATGTTGTTGTTGTTAAGTGCCATCGAGTCGATTCCAACCCATTAAGACCCTGTATAGGGTTTTCAAGGAGCAGCTGGTGAGCTTGAACCACTGACCTTGCAGTTCAAACTACTTTGCAGTCTGACTCGTTAGCCCACAGCGCCACACCAGGACTCCACGCAATAAACAGTTGTTGAATAATTGGACATTGGAGTTGCTTTGTCTCCGCCATAGTTTTGGGTCCTACAATGCTAAGAATGTGGCTTTGGACGTTTATTCCTACCACCCTTTACCTTATAAACAGCAGCTTTTCCACTTACTTGAAAGCCCTCCAGTCACGCAGGGACAGGAGTATAACTTATGGAGGGGGCGGGGGAGCTGGTGTGTAACTTGGAGAGAGGCAAGGGGCTCCCTGCTGGGAACCATCAGACTCCTCTGGCCACCAGTGCTCTTGCTGACCATCTCCTTTCCTCCCTCCCACTCACAGCATACTCCCCCAGGCTGCCCTGGAGGAGATCCACAGATTCTCAGGAACCTACACCTGCATGAACACTTTTAAAGGACGAACATAGAGGCACGATGCAGCAATGCACTGGAGAAACCACAGAGACTGAGGGGCCACGGCGCCTGGGATCTGCCCGCAGATCTGTCCCTCGACACACTTCTGCTGGGTGGCCAGGACTGTGCCTGCCCAGAGGGAGAACCCAGCTGTCCTCCAGCCAGCCCCAGGACCTTTGCACAAGCGTTACTCTGAGCCTTGTGGGGAGGCAAGACAGCAGCCAGCAGCCACCTGGACACTTCTGTATATTTCTAATTCGGTAGAGTTTATTGATCAATTGCTTTTCAAATCTAACCAGCCTTGGCAATGTGCATAGACTTTGTTTCAGGGAGGAGTTGTCCCTGGAGGCCCCTCCTGCACCTCTACAATCCACTCATCCTTCAGCTTGAGCAGACCAGCTGAACGGCAGGAACGAGAAATAAAGAGCGTTGGCTCTGACGAGTTCCTTCTTTGAAAGCCTGGCCTTGGCAGGCAGTGGGAGGGTGCCAGTTCCAACCACAGAGCCCCATCTTTTGAGAGAGAATTGGTCTGCTCAGGGTCCCAGCATCAGGAGTGAAGTAAGCAAGAAGGGGCAGAGGTCGGGAGAGACATTGGAGCCCAGGTCTTAGGTAGAGGGACATGTCTGGCTCCTAGCCGGCTCTGCCAGGCCTTCACAACAGCCATGGGTCACTTAGTTCCTCATCTGGTTTCCCTAATAGACCATCATGAACTAGTCTGCCCTGCCTAACTCTACAGCCACCAGGCAGTAACTCGGGAGAACAGAAACAGTCTTTTTTGAGCACCTGATGTCTATTTCTGCTGCAGCGCTGTAGGATAAGCACTGGACTGCTTAAGCACAGGTTGGCGGTTCAAACCCACCCATCTACTCCTTGGAAACCTTATACAGGGTTGCTATGAGTCAGAACTGGCTCAACAGCACTTAACTGCAGCAACAGCTTCTAGTACAAGGAACCCTGGTGGTGTTGTAGGATAAGCATTAGACTGTTAACCACAGGGTTGGCAGGGGAAAGGTTTACATTCTGGAAACACTACCTCGGGTTGCCGTGAGTCTGAATCCACTCAATGGCAGCGGCAGTTTTGGTGGGTTAATGTCTAGCACAGATACTAATTGGTAAGTTAGCAAACTCACCCAGCGGCTCCATGGGAGAACGCCGTGGCGATCTGCTGCCATAATGATTATGACCTATAAAACCCACTGGGACAGTCCTGCTCAGTCACGTAGAGTCACTCTGAGTCACAGTAGACTCAATGGCAACTGACAGCCGTTGTCACCTCAGCATGTACTGGGTGCTGAGAAGCCAGAGCTCTGAAGACCACCACCCACACAGCCAGGGAGATGACAATGCCCTGGTGAGAAATCTGTGGAACTGCAAGAAACACTTGGTGACAACTTGCGAAAATGAGGCCAGTGCCAAAGCGGTGTCATGGGTCCCACAGTTGGACCGACGTGAGATGGAAATGAAAGGGAATAGCAGCAGATATTTGGCATGGGCTTACTCAGTGGGGAAAATGACAGCCAAAAGGCTCAGGTGGAGATCTCCCGTGGGTCATCTGGTGTGGCTTCTCCCCTACTACCACAAGTTCATAAGTCTAACATGGACTGGGAGTGAGGTGATGCAAAAAAAGAAGGCACCAACCACTCCTCCACAGCCATCTCTAATCAGCTGGGAGCAATAATTCACTGCAACGGCCACACAGAACCCAGACATGGTACTTACGGGGTTTCTTAAGAAAGTTAACAGGTTATAATCTGGGGCCAGAAATATTGAGGGATCAGTTCTTTCAGAACTCTGCTGTGCCCACAAGCAGACCTCTCTCTGGCCCTCAGCCCTTTGGCCTGACCTCTGCCCTACTTCACAATATTACAAAACTCTTTGAGGGCTGCTGATAAAAACCCACAGGACATGCCATGCTACCGTAAGCCTCAGCCTGAAGGCACTCAGATCTAGCTCCATGCATGGGATAATAAACCTAGCTCCTCCAGTTAAAGTGCCTGGAGGTACCCCACTCTGCACGCAAATCTCCTGCCCAGAGTCCTTCAGCTTGACTTGCGCCATGGCCTGGGAAGCGTACCGTTTGTTTGATGCTCTGGTTGTTGCTTCTGCTGCTCCTCTGCCCTCTTCTAGTGTCTCAGCTTTCTGTCCCCGGGTCCAGGAGGTTCAGTGTGCAGGGATCGCAGAGTTCAAGGGGCACACTCCACACCTGGTTCTTCTTTAATGGTCATGAGACACCCCCCTCTCCTGCTTCTGAGATGGCCCCTTTCATGCCCACATTAGAATTCCAAGTTTTTCCATCACAGGTAAGCCTATTAACCACTCACAACTGAATCATCTGATCCTACCAGCATCTTTTCCCACCTTCTCTTACCCAGAGCCATCAAGGCAAAAATGTTGTTTGGTGGAAGTTCACAAAGGCTATGAGTAGAAGAACAATATGAAGGAATTCACTGCACTGCAGGTGGACAATGGATTCCCATCTAAGTAGTGCTTGTCCATACAGCTATTGCAGGGAGGTGGCAGGGTGAGGTGGGAGGGACAAATGGTAGTTACTAGGAGATGGTCACAAGCCTCTTAGGTGCTAGACTTCTGCAACCAAGGAGTTTCCCTGAGAGTTGTATGAAGTCGTTCACTTACACACAAAATTCGCTTCCGCTAAATCCTCTCAGTTTATATGAAAAAAGTTAATGGGGAGATAGAAGATCATGGAATTTTTCTAGGAACTTTTTGAAGGACTCTCAGAATAAGACTGGTCAGTTTGCTCAAGTTTGGGTAATCATTCTGGTTTGTGTGTAGAAAATGTCTCGTCAAGAATGTCAGATTCAGTGCACCCACCTCTTAGTTGAGCACCGACAGAAAGGCTCCAGAAGGCAAAGTCAAGGATTATGATAAAATGTGCCAAGGCCTAGAGTTAGACACCCAAAAGAGAAGAATATACTCAGCATTTCTCACGCTAAAAGATCTGAAGGGAAAAAAAAAAATCAAGGCTCAAATTGTAATATTAAAGGATTCTACTGGCAAAATGTTCAACAATACAGGAACATCTTGAAGAGAAGATGGAAGAGATATGAGTATACAGAGTCACTTCACCGAAAACTGGTGAAGAGGACTTAAAATACTGATGAAGATCAAAGACTATAGCCCTGAGCATTTCAGAATGTAGCATATGATCAAGAACAATGGTATGGAAGGATGAGGTCCAAACTGCACTGAAGTTATTGGGGGAGGGGGGGAAAAAGGCTCCAGGGATTGACGGAATACCAATTGAGAGGTTTCAACTGGAGGTGCTCACTCATCTATATCAAGAAATTTAGAAGACCGCTTCCTGGCCAACTGAATAGAAGAGATTTATTATATTCATGCCCATTCCAAAGAAAGGTGATCCAATAGAATGTGATCAATATCACATGCAAGTAAAATTATGCAAATGAGAATTGAAAAACAGTAGGAGCAATACATCAACAGGAGCTGTCAGAAATTCCAGTCAGATTCAGAAAAGGACATGAGACCAGGGCTACCATAGCAGGTGTCAGATGGATCTTGGCTGACAACAGAGAAGACTAGCAAGATACTTACCTGTGTTTCATTGACTACACAAAGACATTTGACTGTGTAAATCTTAACAAATTTTGGATAACTTTGCAAAGCATGGGAATATTCCAGAACACTTCATTGTATATAGATCAGTCATTCAAACAGAACAAGGGGATACTGTATGGTTAAAAATCAGGAAAGGTGTACATCAAGGTTGTATCCTCTCACCATACTTATTCAATCTGAATGCTAAGCAAATAATTCGAGAAGCTGGACAGTATGAAGAAGAATATAGCATCAGGATTGAAGGAAGATTCATTAACAACCTATGATAAAACCTTGCATGCCGAAAGTGAAGAGGGCTTAAAATACTGATGAAGATCAAAGACTATAGCCCTGAGCATAGATTGCATCTCAACATAAAGGAAACAAAAGTTTTCACATCTGGACCATTACATAACATCATGATAAGCGGAGAAAATACGGAGTTGTCGTGGATTTCATTCTACTTGGATCCACAACCAACACCCATGAAAGCAGCAGTCAAAAAGTCAAATGACCCATTGCAGTGAGCAACTCTGCTGCAAAAGATTGCTTTAAAATATCAAAAAGCAAAGATGTTATTTTTGAGGCCTGAAGTGCAACTGACCCAAGCCATGGTATTTTTGGTCTCCTTGTATGCATGTAAAAGCTGGACAGTGAATACAGAAGACTGAAGAACTGATGCCTTTGAGTTGGGGTGTTGGCAATGACTACTGAATATACGAACAAATCTGTCTTCAAAAAAGTACTGCAGGATGTTCCTTAGAAGCAAGGATGGCAAGACTTTGTCTCATATGCTTTGTACATGCTGTCAGGAGAGACTAGTCCCTGGAGAAGGACATCATGCTTGGTAAAGTACAGGGTCAGTGAAACAGAGAAAGACCCTCAGTGAGATGGTTTGATACAGTGCCGTCAATAATGAGCTCAAACATAGCAATGACTAAGAGGATGGTTCAGGATCAGGTAGTGTTCAGTCTTGTTTCACCTCAACTGCACCTAACAACAAAAACAGATTGCTACAAACCCCCAAGGAAAAACTATTTTCTCTCTGTTAATTATCAACACCACCTAACAGCAGCTGACGACGGGAAAAACATCTCTCCAAAACCACCTTTAAAGACTTCCTGTCATGTGTGTGTTAGGGTGCTGTTAGTTGCTGCTGACTTAGTTCAGAGTCATAGTGAGCTTGTGTATGGTGGAGGTGGTTCAGAGTCATAGTGAGCTTGT